AAAAAAAAAAAAAAAAAAAAAAACAGAGATAAGGGCAAAAGACGGCACGAGAGAATGGGGAAGGAGTGGACGTCCGCGTGTCCTCTGCTTCATTAATTGCCAAACGGCACATGGGGCAAAGCAGGGCTCAATGGTAGAACAAAACAACGGATTCGCGGTTATCTTCATCTTCCTCCTAACACAATGCATGTCCAATACGCCAGTTATCGAGGTACGTATGGAGGCGGCCGTAATGACCAGGTACAATGAGAGGCTGGTGGGGCCCTTAGGAGCAATGCTATATAAAAATATAAAAATAATACAACAGAGGGAGGAAACTGCAACTTCTCCGCAGATGCATGAATAAGTCCACTTTCTCGGCAGATGCATGAATAAGTAGGATTAGAGAAAGAAGGTGAGTAGCATGGCAAACAAACGACCGAGAAATTGTAAGTCCACTTTCTCGGTGATATGGATATTTGTGAGCAGAGCAGCTTGGAGGAAGGAGGAGATATGGGAGAATGTGAACCTCAGAGAAGGGCAGGAAGAGGAGAAGGAGAGTTACCTACGGACAACGGAAGCGGCGGAGAGAAAAATACCTACCCCTTCTAGTCACCTTCCGGACCCGATACGAAGAAGAGCCCTGGGTAACTTCCACGAGGTCGCACGAGCTCGACGACCAAAGCAGAGTTTCTTTTTCCTTTTTTTTCCTTTTTTTTTAATTGGGTTGGATCCACCCGAGGCTGGGTAGCCTAAACCGTATGTGTTCATATAGTCCGTAGACTATTCCCGTCCTTATCGAGGGAGATGCTAACCTTCTCTCGGCTCAACGAACACCAAAGCAGAGTTTCACGAAGGGTAAGAAAAGAACGACCGGTCGCAACCACCCAGTCCTGACCGGTCGGACATTCCACACCCAAAAAAGCAGAGCGCATAAGTGCATTTCAATTTTATATTTTTTTCTCTTTCTTTGCACTTCGTTTGTGTCTCTCTTTCTTTATTACAGTTGAACAAAGATCAGGACGACCGCGCGCGTATTTGTATGGGGGTTGGGGTTGGGAGACCAAAAACCGAAAGAAGAGGGGGGGGGGGAAAGCAGAACAGGGAAACGAGAAGACAAAAGTGAAGAAGAAGAAGAAGAATAGTGACAAACAGATATTAAAAAGGGGAGAGGAGGGAAAAAAAAAAAAACGGGAGAGGAGGAGAGAAAGGCAGGGAGAGGGTAGAAGGATCCTCGAGACTAAAAAATCGCAAAACGTGAGAACCGATGCAACGAAATAAGCCGGGGGAGCATTAGGGGTGAAAATTTCAAAATAGAGAGAGGGAGGAATAGAGGAGGAGAGAGAAGGAGAAAAAACCGCCGACTGGCAAGACAACGATTACAAACAAAATAAAAATACAAAAAGCGACAGTGATCATCAATCTGGGACTACAAAAAAAAATAAAAATAAAAAAAATCTGGGACTACAGATATAAAGAGAAAAAATGGGCGTGACGGGCAAACAATGACCAAGAGGTGGGGGGGGGGGAAATAAACAGACAGACAATGATCACGGTGATTAAAAGACTTTAGCAATCGGTCCAAGGAAGCATATAATGTACATTGATTGATGGGGAAAACGCTGACCCATACGTCGCCTACGATCCTTTCCCGAAGAAAGAATTAGCGTATTAATTAAATAATTAATTTGCCATTGTAATTTGTCTGCACCGAATGTGACTGCTAATTTTTTTTTTTTCAGATCAAATGCAGATATGATCATGATGCCCCCGCGTTGTATTTGAGCGAAAATGGCAGGAAAA